CGCCTACCCTTGACCACGAACAACCGTATACAACACGCAAAAAGTACCTTTCGATCGCGACCCAGTAAGTACGCAGACTGTCGATGGATATGCAGTATAGCTGTGGCAATGTAAAGTGCAAGTGTATCCATAAGTTATTATCTTACATATACATAAGTTCATTGTCTTACATATACATAAGATTATCTTACATATACATAAATTATTATCTTACATATACATAAGTCATTATCTTACATATACTGTGAGCAACGATGATTGATAGGTTGCATACAATGCTTGACATATGGCGTAGTAGATGCAGACATTTGTATGATTGCTGCACATGCACACATGTAGGAGGGTGCGTGAGAGGGGGTGTAACGTTATCGATTATTCTATTAACTACATGAATTCACATACGGCATCCCAGCGTACGGTGATACAAACCTGTATAGTACATGATGTAATTGCACAATTGTTTACAAGGGAGTGTTACAGTATACACACCATAGCTTGATCGCACATGCGTATAGCTGCATGCATATGGATGTGTTTGCATACGGCTATCTGTGTGTTTGTGCACATACGTAGTTCTGCGTTACCATACGAGCGTATATCTGTATGCGTGTATAAACACCGTAACTTCAAAGCACGTGCGCATATCCGTGTGCATATGCATATACTTCATACACCTATTTAATTGAGTGTGCGTTCACGTACGTAGTTCCGTGGTGCCTTTATACGGATACAATCGCCAGTGTAGCTTGGGTTTGCGTGCCTCCACCGGTTCGGCATATTTGAGTTCGACTCCCTGATGATAGCACGGGCCAAAACACACAAGTGTGAGGGATTGGAATCAGGGATTGAATTTTATATCTTGTATTCGCATATGTGATGGAAGCCTGGATGTACGCAGGTGTGGTGTGTGATACAGGCATATAGCACTATACTTTATATCCCTCGGTGAACTGGATATGTATGGTTGATTGGCGCGTATACACACATAATTTAACGATTTTTGGATATAGCCTAGCCAGATTAAGTTACAACACAAAATGAGACAGAATCAGTATTTTAAGTGTTCGCTTAGCAGAAATCCTATGGCCTCAATTTCAAACTATGCAAAGCCAAAAAAAAACACGACCCGAGTGCTATGATATTCAAACAGAACACCAGTGTTACACACAATGCTTCCAGTGCTTCTTTTAGCAAGATATTGCGCCAAGCATAT